ACAGGGATTCCAAGTCCTGGGCACCAGCAGCCCAGCTGCAGCTTCTGTTTGCTGTGTGTCTCACGGAAAATCAGGTGCCCCCTGGGCCTCAAGCTCCTCGCCTGTCAAGTGGGGTAGAGAGAGAACGCTCAGATACAGGCCAGGCTGGGGAGGGATTTGCACACTCAAGCCTAGACGGCCCTCCTGGCCACGGCCACCAGAGGGCAGCAGCGCCTCGTGCTTGAAACTCCTCTGTGGTCTTGCACTGCCACCAAGCTGTCAGGTCCTGCTTCCTTGATGGCTCAGTGGTAAAAACTGCCAGCCAATGCAGGAGACGTAAGAGATGCACGTTCAATCCCTGGGTTGGAAAGATCCCCTGGAGGAAGGCATGGCAACCCACTCCAGTATTCTTGCCTGGAAAACCCCACGGACAGAGGAGCCTGGTGGGCTACAGTCCATGGGGTTGCAGTGTCCTACATGACTGAGCAACTAACACTATTTAGCCACTCAACAGATGCCGCTGATAGAGCCTGACTGTGAAAGGAGGGCTATGGGCACTGGAATGTGGCCTGGCTCAGAGGGAGATCCAGGGCCAGCCACACCAGGTATCTAGGCTCTGAGGCTCCAGACAGCTTGTCCTGGACCAGGCTGCTCCCCTGGAATCTTCCTGAGCACAGGTGAAGCCCCCACAGGTGAGCCCAGCCCTCATTCCTGCCTCACACCCTGGGAACAGCTGGTGGTCCCCCACAGCCTATGTTCTCATCCCCTGCCTGTTCCAGGTGGGTGATGCCCCCACCCTGGGCTCCTGAGGTGCCCACACCATGCCTGGTGACACGGCGGGCCACCCCTCCTGCCCTGTCTGTGAAGACAGGCCCTCCTCTCCCCACATTGAAGCGTGGTGGCGTGGGAAGCCGAGGGGCACTGCCCTTATCTCCCCTCACCCACTGACCAACCCTTGATGCACAGGCCCAGGTCCTGCTTGTCCCCACATGTTGGGACCTGGGTACCCATGGCTGCTGGTGTGCCACCCTCCCCATTTTTGCACAGCCCTGGATCCATGCTCTTCCTACCCCAGGTGCCTGGTCCCACCCTGGCTCTGGCCCCCCTCTCTGGAGAAGCCGTGAGCTGTTCGCAGCCCTTGCTCTGAGCTGGAGAGTCCGAGGGGCAGGTCCTGGCCCATAGGTATCCTTGCCCTCCCTCAAGGCCCTGCACCCGCCCACCCCACCACCAGCTGACCTGCAGGGTCAAGGGCAGTGCCCCTGGCTCTCTGGGTCCCTGTCGCATGTGTCCAGGGTCATGTGGTTATCATTGGCCAGGCTGGAACCTGTCCCTCTGCCTCTTTGTCTGGGGCCTAATGGGTGCAGTTCCAGACCATAAGGTGGGCCCCCAATACTGACTTTTTAAAAAATTAATATTTTGGTGGTGCTGGGTCTTTTTTGCTATTCAGGCTTTCTCTAGTTGCAGTGGGCAAGGGGCATGTCATTGCGGGGGCTTCTCTTGGGATCAGCAGTTGTGGCATGTGGGCTTCTTTGCTTGGTGGCATGTGGAATCCTCCCAGGCCAGGGATTGAACCCATGTCTCCTACACTGGCAGGTAGACTCCTATCCACTGTACCACTGGGGAACTCCCCAACACTGACTCTTCATTCATTCACTCACTCATTCAGAACTTCTAGATTTTTTTGCCTTTTTTTTTTTTTTAAGCTGCACTGCTCAGCTTGTGGGATCTCATGACCCCAAACAGGATCAAAGCCAGGCTGCTGCAGTGAAGGCCTGGAGTCCTAACCAGGAGGCCACCAAGGGAACACCCTGAGCAGCTAATGCCCAGCCAGGCTGGGCACTGGCTCCGGGGAGGGGAAGGGTTGAGCTGCGAGGTCAGTTCAAGGGGAAGAGTGCTATGAGGGAGGCAAATATGGGCACTGTGAGGGGTACCCAGGAGGGGGGGTGGCCTTCTGGAAGAAAGTTTTCTGCTCCATTGGTGTAGAGTCTTGGGAAAGGCAGGTGTGTGGGTATGCACGATGTTCACGGAGGCCACAAGCTGGGGACAGGGGCCGGGGCTGCCCCCACTGTGAAAGCAGCCCGGGCCAGCCGGGGGCAGGGAGGAGCTGTAAGGCTGGCAGCCAACACGGCCTCACACTGGTCCCCAGGGGCCACTCGCCTGCTGCTGACGCAGGCCAGATGCACGGGACCCTCGACGCCCAGTGTCTACGTGGGCTGTGCCTGATGCACGCGTCCATGGCACTGCCCTGCAGAGCAGACACCCATCCCACACTGGACCCCCGAGTCCCACTGAGGGTGGTTTCTGCCCCGCCTGCAGAAACCACACTGCCTGTCGCCCTGCACACACACACACACACATGCACACACACACACACATGGTGTAAGGGGACTGTCGTGGGTGGGAGGTAAGATAACCTGACTGGTTCTCCTTCTGCCATTAACTTCCTGGGACCCGAGGGGTATGGCCGGTTTCTAAGGGAGTGCTGAGTCAGTGATGGGCGGGCCTGTGGGTGGTCCCATTCCTTCCCTGGGGCAGGTCTTCATCGCCTCCAACTCCCTAAGGAACCGCCCTGACTTCTGTGAGCTTCTGTTGGGGCAGGGCCCACTAGGGCCCCAGATCCATGTCCTTCCCATTTGTGTGGAAGCACAGGGATGGCTATTTTATGTCTGTGTGACTGGGTCGTGGGTGTCTTGACAGGTGCTTCGATGCCCTTTTGAGTGTGTCTGTGAGGGTGTTTCTGGATGAGGTTAACATTGCATTAGCAGACAGTACTGTAGGGTTCCCCACCAGGGTGAGGACCTCATCCAAAGGGCTGACTAGAACAGAAGGCTGAACTGAGGCTCTGTTCTCTGCCTGGTGGTCTTGGGCTGGGATGGCAGGCTCCTGCCTTCAGACCCGGACTAGAACGAATGCTGTCAGCTCTCCTAGGTCTCCAGCTGGCAGATTTTGGGCCCATTCAGCCCCCATAATCCTATCAGCCAGTTCCTTATAATGTCTCTCTCTTTCCCATCCCCCCACCCCAACCCCACCACCCATATACATGAATATGTATTCAGAGGGAGGTGCTTCCCTGTGGCTCAGTGGTAAAGAACCCACATGTAGGAGACATGGGGTTCAAATCCTGGGTCAGGAAGATCCCCTGGAAAAGGAAATGAAAACCCACTCCAATATTCTTGCCTGGGAAATCCCATGGACAGAAGGAACCTGGAAGGCTACAGTCCATTGTTGCTGCTGTTACTGAGTTGTTCTGCTGCTGCTGCTGCTGCCAAGTCACTTCAGTCGTGTCCGACTCTGTGTGACCCCATAGATGGCAGCCCACCAGGCTCCCCTATCCCTGGGATTCTCCAGGCAAGAACACTGGAGTGGGTGGCCATTTCCTTCTCCAATGCGTGAAAGTGAAGTTGCTCAGTCGTGTCCAGATCTTTGTGACCCCATGAACTGCAGCACACCAGGCTTACCTGTTTTTCACTATCTCCTGGAGTTTGCACAAACTCAAGTCCATTGAATCAGTGATACCTTCCAACCATCTTATCCTCTGTTGCCCCCTTCTCCTCCAGCCCTTAATCTTTCCCAGCATCTGGGTCTTTTCCGATGAGTCTGGTCTTCGCATCAGGTGGCCAAAGCTTCAGTATCAGTACTTCCAATGAATATTCAGGGTTGATTTCCTTTAGGATCAGTTCATGGGGTTGCAAAAGTGACTTAGCGACTAACCACCACCACCAAGGGAAAGACACTCTGTTTCTGTGGCAAACCCTGCACCTGTGGTCACTCCCATCTGTGCCTCGTTACTGGGCAATATCCCCTGTTAGTAGCACCCCTCATCAAGGCACCATCAGATGTGGCCTCGTGGTAGCAAGCTGGGTCCACCTGGCCCCAGGTCACCTGGCCTCCTGCTCTCATCCCATCCCTGCAGACACTGCCCATCAAGGTTTGGACTTGGCAATGCCACTGACCGCAAAGGCACTAGCAGACAGGGCTCACACTTTCTATCACAGGCGTGGAGTCCTAAAAGATATTAAGATGACTAAAAACAGCAAAACAGCCAGCGTCCCTGCTGTGGGGCAACCTACACACTCTGCCCACTTACCTCGATCACGTGCCTCTCCCCAGGTGAGATTCAAGAGTGCTTACCTGGCCCATGGGCGGGTGTGACGGACACTGGGACCAGAACCCCAGTCCTGTCCACCCTTCCTGGTGCCATGCCCCCTGGGGGAGGGGCCCTTGTCACTGTGGGTGCCTCCAGGCACCTCACACTCGAGGCCAAGACACTGAGAAGTGAGGCGGGTGGGAGAATTTTGGAAAGTTCTCTTCCCTTTTAAGGAAGAAATAAGCCAGGTCCACTTCTTGTCCTGTCTTGGAAGGCTCACATGTCAGCCGCACTTACCCTGCAGAGACCCCAAGGATTCAAGGGTGTGGACAGAAGCTGCCTTGGAGGCCAGGGGCGGGGCGGTGGGGCAGCGGAAGGAACCAGGACATCCTCAATGATGCCCCCCAGATGCGGTGTTAGCCAGGCCGACAACGCATGGGACTTGCAGGCATGTGGTGCCCACCTCCCCACAGTTAAGGGCCCTTCTGCTGCTTCTGAGACCAGAAGCATCTCGATGGCCACAGCCTGAGAAACCAGGCCTGCTCGCTCTCCCGGCTGGTGCGGATGCCCCGGGTCTCCGCCCTGTCATTGCTGGGGATGTGAAGTCTCATGACTCTGCTGATTAAACCACGGGGCTGGGCTGGGGGCGGGGGGCAGAGAGGCTGGGGAGAGGGAGGGAAGGAGGCAGAAGCCTGGCCTTCAAACCCACCCGGAACAGTCATGTTTTATTTCCATGTATTTCTTGGCATTAGGCAGAGATGGAAGGAGAGGTTGTACAGGATTTATAGACACAGTGATGGCCGCAGGGACGCAGGAGCGGCCCAGTTTACAATGAGCAGCTGGACCCACGGAGGCCACCTGTCCGGAGAGCGCTCAGGCCACGCCAGCCGAACAGGGGCTCTTGCGGGCCAACACAAGACTCGGACAACTCCCGTTTATTTGATCATTTTAATACAGGAAATGCCAGACCAATCAACAGGGAGGACAAACCTCACAGAGACACCTGCGCTCACGACGCGGACGGGAGGGTCTCCACGGCCCTGGGCACGCATGCATGTCCTTTGGAGAAGGGCAGATTGAGGGCATAAATACCACAAAATAACCAGGCTCGGGGTGGGGGGGAATCACAGGCCACGAGGAAACCACGCTTCAAAGGCAATCGAGGCATTAAATACGGAACTTACACGTTACATTTCACTTCACCGTACGTATAATTTATATATTAAAAGAAAGGAGACCACGGTATTATATACGTGCAAGCGGTTTTGGTCGGAGGAAATGAACGAGCTGGGTGGAGCCATGCACGGGGAAGGCTTGCCCATCTCCTCTCCCTCTGTTCTTGTCCCCATCTTTCCCACAGAGTCACCCGCCATCACGGATCAATCGGCTGGCCTTGGCGCGATCTCAGAAAGTCCCACGGGTATCCTCAGTGTGTCCTCGGGGCTCCCTGTGGGCAGGGAGGTGCCCCAGAAGCGAGGACACCGCGAGCCCTGCATGTAAACACATCCCCGGGAAGTCGCCCTGGAGGGACCGGGGCAGAGAGGGGGTGGGAGGAGGCCAGGTGAGGAGCGGGGCGCAGCCGCCAGGCAGGCAGGTGTGGTGATGTGTCGCCTGGCTGCCCCGGGAGAGCAGGAATGATTGAGGAGGCATCCACTTTTGCAAGCAAAGCTTAAATGGCAAGACAAGCCTGTGTTTCTCTGCACTGTCCAGACGCCAACCCCTTAGAACTGACTCGCACTGCTGGGGTCACACTGTAACAACCGGACGATGGACGGGTCGCTCTTGGCACCTTTGATGAATTCTTCCAGGGACAGTTTGCCTGTGGGAAGGAGGACGGGAAAAACAGGAGTTAGCCAGTGCTCGCTGTTTTCCACCCCCAGGAGAACACGTAGACAGCTCCTGTGTCAGGGGAAGCCTCCTGGGGTCCAAGTCTTGAGCCCTGCTGAAGCTGGATGCTGTCCAGGCTCTACACGCTTCGAGGGCATTTCTGGAAAAACCTGTTTGGCTTTCACTGATCACTGGCAGTGCTTCTCCCAGGATACATACAGATACGGGAGGGACCTAGGTTTGAAGCAGACCCTGCATTCTGGCAACCTGTGCCTTGGGGAACCTCCATCTTGCCTCTGCAGCTATAAAGTGAAATAAAGCCAGGGACCCCGACACAGAAGCGTGGGGCCGTGCCCAGCACACTAGCGGGTGCTTCGCTCTGCCTCCACGGGCAAGCGACCCGCCGCTCCACGTCCCAGGGTCTCTACCTGTGTGGTGGGATCACAGCCATGCCTGTCTCAAAGGCGTGAGCTCCCCCAGAGCATCCCCAGCAGGAGACTAAACCACCCCAGGCTAAGGGATGGATTGGGAAGGGGAGCAGTCACCCCCCGGCAGAAAAGGAGGCTGCTGGGATGATGCAGAGGGCTACTAGGCTTTGTGACTGTTCGTACGGTTAACAGGGACTTTACCCTGACCACTCAGGGCAAGGGGCTTCCCTTGTAGCTCAGTTGATAAAGAATCTGCCTGCAGTACCAGAGACCCGGGTTCGATCCCTGGGTCAGGAAGATTCCCTGGAGAAGGAAATGGCAACCCACTCCAGTATCCTTGCCTGGAAAATCTCATGGACACAGGAGTCTGGTGGGCTGCAGTCCATGGGGGTCTCAAAGAGTCGGGCACGACTGAGAGATTAACACTTTACTTATTCAGGACAAGGAGCTAATGAAAGCACTGGCCTCTCCTCTAGGCAGTAAGTGGGGCTGGCAAGGGGCTGAGGGCCTGAGCACAGTCTGTCCTGCAGCCATCGGGGTGCTCCTCGTGCTCCGCCAGACTCAGGACCTGTGGCCTCAGCGACTACCTGTGCTTTCCGAGGGTGGGCGGGCCGGGAAGGTGGGAAGGGTGTGGGGCAACCCAGAGAAGGACAAGGGCCGAACTCTGCACACCCCTGCTTCACTCTTCTCTCCTCCAACATTGCCTCTCCTGCCCCCTCCCCAAGCTTCAGGGCCCGGATCCCGGGGCTCACAGGAGAAGTGTGGGCCCTAGTTCACGGACAGCCTGGGAAGATGCATAGAGCTGAGCGGTCAGAGCAGATCCTCTGGATCCTCACAACCACAACAGACTGAATTATTATCTCCATTTCACAGAAGAGTAAACTGAGGTTTGGAAAAGCCAAGACTGGTGGAACAGGTCTATTGAACCCAAAGCCTGTGCCTTGCTACCCTGGAGGGCTGAAGACATGTTTTGAATCTGCCCAAAGGCCACGCCAGGAGTGAGGCTGTCTTGTCTTACGTTGATCGTGTTTTGAAAACTGTCTCCATGGGTTGATGTGCCTGCAGCCCCATCACGCCCTTACGCCGCTGGCTCAGTCTTTTGCCTTCATCTGCAAACTGCACTTTAAGGTTTGGCCGGGGTGGGGCAGGGAGCGGGGTGGGGAGGTGTATGGGGCTTTCCTGTGCATTCGCTTATTTTCAACCCCCAAGCACAGCGCAGCGGGTATTTTCTTTTTCTTTTCTAAATGCTGCATTTCTTTATCTGTCAAAAGCAAATCTGACAAGGCTCTGGGGCTGCACTTCATGTGGATCCATTCTGTTTCATGGTTACCCTCCCCGGCGTGGATCCCAAAGAAGCTCACGGCTGAGGCAGAGAAGGAAACCTGGGGCACGTCCTCCCTGCCAGGCCTCCACGGCCGCCCCTTGGAACCCACCACTTCTGCTATAGTGTGGTCCCAGCGAGCCTGGTACAGCTGCTGCAGGCCAGCACCTCCCAACAGAGTCGCCAGGGCGACTGGGGCCTGGAGGAGGGACGGTGGGGGGCCATCCATCCATCTACCACCCAGAAGCCTGATCCCAACCCCTCGGGGGCCCAGGTGCCATGGACACACCTGCCTCTTCTCCCCTGGGACATGTCCACGGGCCCACGGTGTCTCCATTCTAGAAACAAGGAGACTCCTGCTCAGGGGGCAGGACATAGGCCCAGGTGCTCCTGGACTCTGAAGCCCAACCCTCAGCATAGCTGCATTGACTGTGGAGGGCCGGGGGTGGGCTGGGCTAGGTCCCAGAAGCTGTGGGGAAGGGCCCCAAACGCCTCTCTGCTCCCAGCAGTGCGGCACAGACATGTGGGGTCCTACCGTCATTGTTGGTGTCCATCTGCCTGAAGATCTTGTCTGTGCGTTTCTCCGGTGTGGACTCATCCTCCGGCATCTTCATCACGGAGGACACCATTTTATATATCGCCTGCAAAGGGGCACACAGATGCGTGTGCTTAGAGGTTCCGGGTGCTCCTGGGGGGATGGGACACAGGCCTGATCTGCCCCCCCACCTTCGCCCACGCCAGGAGGAGAGGCCGGGCTGCCCACCAGCCTGCTCACCAGAATCCTCCCCAGCTGGAGTGTTCCAGGGCTTTTCCCAATAGTGTGCATGCATGTTGCAGACAGCATGTGAGCAAAAGGAAGGCAGCCTCATTTATATGAGGTTCAAGAACAGGTGAAACGACCCGCTGTGACTGTGGCAAGACTGGGTTTGTCTGGGGGCGGGAGGTGGGACAGCTCTCAGGCCTTCTGGGGGGGCTGGGGATGCTCCCTAACTCACTGGCAGTGACACGGACATATGTGCATAGTGTGCATCACACAGCACGCTTAGCCACAAATATTTGACTACGGGATTGCGTATCTCAGTGAGAAGCAAAAAAAGACAGCCCCTGAAACTCACAGGGGAAACCATATCACCAGCCCCAGAAAGGACAGGCCTGGGGCCCATGGGTCTCTCCAGCAGGACCAAGAATCTTCTCTTCAGGACACTGCCGTCCATGGGCTCAGCACTGCACAGGCCATTTCTATCCAAGAGTTCAGGCCTGTGGTGTGTGCATGTGTGTATGTGCATCAGTGTGTGTGTGTGTGTGTGTGTGTGTGTGTGTCCAGGGGGCCATGATGGAGCCGGTGACTAGCAGCTCATAAGAGTAACATGCGAGCAGGAGGGGGCTGTGCCACTGGGGGATTCTACGGGGAAATGGCTTGACTGATACACTCATTCCTCAAACAACAGACCAAGAACAGCAGAAACCTGGAAGCTGTAACGTCTTAAAAAGCAGGTCTACAAAACCAAACCAAAAAGAATGACCCAAGTGAGGCGTCTTGTATCTATTACACTCTGCACTCCTTGGTCCCTCTCCACATGCAGGCAGGGGTGACCAGGCCTCACTGCACGGCAAGTGTGTCTTTCAGGGCCTCCTGGGACAGGCCCCCCCGCTCCTGGGACAGCACAAGGCACTCGTCTGAGTGCAGAGAAGGCAGAGCCAAGACCCTCCCTGTCTCTGCTGGGCTGTGATGCACTTGGAGCCCAGCCCATTTTGATGAAGGTGTAGCAGCCGGGCATCCTTCTTAGCCTCTGCCAACATGGGGGGAAGTGCTCAGGGTTTGGGAACTGGGTCTGGGGGCCTAGCAGCCAGATCCCGTCCAGACAGGAGAGGCGCCCCTCATGGCTCTGCCGTGTCTGTAAGCTTTGGCCGGGGTGGTCTGCTTGGCCAGTAACAGAGGAGGGTAAGGGCCAGCAGGTGGGTCAGGACAGGTAATTCCCCAGAAGCCAATTTCTTCCTTCAACTGCTGCTTGTTGCTAAGAGCCAGGATCAACGGCTGAAGCACAGTTTCTCCTGAACCTGTGCTGGTTTATTCTCATGGCGTGAAAACTACCTGTTTGGGAAACCAGTCAGGCTACTTGCTGCTGATCAAGGAGTTCCTGAGTTTGATATCCTCTGTGTGTGGTTTAATCCAGAAGTTCCCTCCATGTAGACTGGAGAATACCTCCTCTGAGGAGTCCCAGAACTGAGCTCCTAGGCTCCAGGAGTGGGGGTGCAGGGGGTGGGGACCCAGGGAGTGGAGGCTCTGTGGCTCTCTACCACACACCCGGGAACCCAGGGGAGTGAACAAAACTTTTTTTCTTGCCGGAAAACAGCTTCCCTTGCCCGCGTTGTTGACAGGAGAGAAGAGCTTTCTGAGGTGGTGCTTCCTGGGCCAGAGCTTATTCTGTCACCATTAATGGTTCAGTTTGGCTTTACAATTGTGTGTTCCTGAGGACATGACAAGCTGTCTGTTGCATTCTTAAATAGGGGAATACGAAAAGGTCTTGGCAGGTGCCTTCTGCCAGTGTCAAGGGTCCTTTCCATTATAATTCTCAACTCTGTTACTTTGACCACCTGATGCGAAGAGCCGACTCACTGGAAAAGACCCTGATGCTGGGAAAGACTGAGGGCAGGAAGTGAATGGAATGACAGAGGACGAGATGGTTGGATGGCATCACTGACTCAATGGACATGAGTCTGAGCAAACTCTGAGGGATGGTGAGGGACAGGGAAGCCTGGCGTGCTGCTGTCCATGGGGTTGCAAAGAGATGGACATGACTGAGTGACTGAACAACAATTGTTAACTCTCAGGATATCACACCCCTGCCGCCCCCCACCCCCCTACGCCTAGTCTCAGAGTTTGTGAAGTGCAGAAAATGACACCCTCCTCCCCTTAGAGCTGGGAAGACCACAGCTCATCAACGGTGTGTAGGCCAGGGCTTTTTACCGCCAAGGATCCGCAAACAATGGTCCTTCTGCCTTGGTAGGTGGGTTTTTACCACTAGCTCCACCATAGCTCAGTCGGTAAAGAATCTGCCTGCAATACCGGAGACCCAAGATCGATCCCTGGGTTGGGAAGATGCCCCCCTGGAGAAGAAAATGACAACCCACTCCAGCATTCTCGCCTCGAGAATCCCATGGATAGAGGAGCCTGCAGGCTACACAGTCCATGGGGTCGCAAGAGTCAGACAGGACTTAGCGACTAAACTGCCACTGCCGCCATCTGGGAAGCCCAACAATGGCAATTCTCATCACCATCTGCAAGGGCCCGCTTGGTCAGGTGACAGCTAGTCATTTTCCAAAGGGCAAGAAAGAGGGGCAGGCAGCCACGTGGCCCGGAAGGATCAGAGGCGGGCCTAGGAGTCGCGCGCTGTCCAGAGTGGGCGGGGTCTGCCAAGGCCCCGCCCCCGGCGCCAGCCCCGCCCCCTGGGCGCACCTGCACGATCTCCAGCATCTCACTGCGGCTGATGTAGCCGTTGCCGTCGAGGTCGTACATGCTGAAGGCCCACTTGAGCTTCTGCTCCAGCTTGCCCCGCGAGGTCACGCTCAGCGCGATGATGAACTCCCTGAAATCAATGGTGCCGTCGCCGTTGGTGTCGAAGGTGCGGAAGACGTGCTCGGCGAACTTGGAGGCGTCGCCGTAGGGGAAGAAGTTCGCGTAGATCTTCTTGAACTCGTCCACGGTCAGGTGGCCGGTGGGGCAGTCCTTGAGGAAGCCCTTGTACCACTCCTGCAGCTCATGGTCCGTGAACTCCGTGTTCTCCCGCAGGTCCTGCAGCACTTCGGGTCGCAGCTTGCTGTTTTGCTTGCCCATGGCGGCCGGCAGGGACACCTGCAAGACAGAGGCCCGGCTGGAGATGGGGTGGGGGGCGGGCGCAGGGGAGGGCTCCGCACCGTCCATGGCCGCCCAGCGGGATGGAGGACTATCCCTCGAGTGTCCCCCACCAGTGGCTGGAGAGGCCTGACTCCGGCCATCATGGTGATGAGATGTCCCAGCATGTGTAGGACCCCCCACAGAGAGGGGGACCCCGGAGGGGAGGGGGACCCTTAGCCTATGTACCACCAGGAAGGCGGGGTGCTCCAGTGGAGTCAGGATGCTGGCCGCCTGGCACTGCAAGACCTATCCTGACCTACAGAATTGGAAACGTGGAGAAAATGGCCACATAAAATCAACAGGAATGGGGCCCTTATGGAGTGCCCAGCAGGGTTTGTACAAGACTGGAGGCTGAAACCGTTCTCATCACCCTCATCAGCTCCCAGCAAAACTGTCACTCTGACCGTAGCCCACACCCTGTGTTCTGAGCATTTCTTTCCTCTTTCAGGCACCACATTCTGATTTTATCCTTAGAACAGGCATCCAGAAACTTTTAAGGAATCCCTTCTTGTTTTGGCCTCTGAGAAACCCTATGGTTGGGAGCATGGGGTGGGGGTGGGGGAAGTGTGGATCTGGAATTAGCACCAAAAGGATGTCTCCAGTGTGCATAGTAAAGTCCCAGGCAATTGCAGGCATGCAACTCCAGGCATGCATGGAGTTTTCCCCTAATGCCTGCACAGAAGACTGACCCTGCATGCATGCTACATCACTTCAGTTGTGTCTGACTCTTTGTGACCCCATGGACTGTAGCCCACCAGGCTCCTCTGTCCACAGGATTTTCCAGTCAAGAATATGGGAGTGGGTTGCCATGTTTTCCTCCAAGGGAGCTTTCCAGTCTAACTGGTGCCCTTGAATAGAGGAGCTTGGGACACAGACCCAGAGGAAAGGCCACGTGAGGACACAGGGAGAAGATGGCTATGGATGGGCCAACGAGAGAGGCCTCAGAAGGAGCCAGGCCTGCTGACACCTTGATCTCAGACGTCAGCCTCCCAGAACTGTGAGAGAATACATTTCTGTTTTTGAAGCTGTCCAGCATGCAGTGCTAAGACAGCTGCCCAGGGACCTGAGCTGATAACACGTGGCATCAGTGTCCATGGGGCAGAATCCTGTGCTAGGGGCTGTGCAGTTCCCAAAGGCTTAACTCCTGACCTGCCGGTGTCAGGGACAACCACAAGAAGGTCCATGGACGTGGGACACTTTTGTTTTTAATCAGACACCTCGCCTGCATTCGTCCCGCTTCACCAGGGAGGAAGCCGACCGGGAGTCTCTGGAGGCGAAGCCAGCCCTCGGACCCAATCGTCCGGCCCCGTCTCACAACTTCCTGGGGGCAGCTAGGGGAGGACAGTACTGGGGAGGGTGGGAAGACAATGTGGTCATGAACATGGCCTTCCTGGCTGCCTTTGATAGTCAACCCACATCCTTTCCTTAAAGCATTCCTTCTCTTTTCATCATGGAAACGAGCCACCTTCCGCGAAGCTCTGGGCTCTGAGAGCTCAGGGTCGGTCCTTTCATACCTTTTTTTTTTTGGCTGCACGGCACAGTTTGTAGGATCTTAGTTCCCTGAGCCTGGATCGAACCCTGGGCCCTGGCAGTGAAAGCACCAAGCCATAAACACTGGACCGCCAGAGAATTCCCAGGATCGGTCCCTTCAGAATCCATTTGTCTCAGTGAAAACCAAACCGCCGCTCAGAACCACAGTATCAGATGGCTTCAGAATGTGTTGGCGATTTGTATTCTTTAAGATCCACAAGATGCCAAACTCCTAATTCCTCCTCCGCCTGAAGTAACAAATGTTTATGGAGAGGAAGGGACCATATCGGGGATGGGACAAGGACGGGTCAACACAATTGCTAGGAGGTGACAGCCAGGGGCTCCGAGGTCGGCCTGGGGAGGCTTCAGCTTTCCCAGCCCTTCTCACATGTCCCCGCAGGCAGATATGTGAGGCTCCCCAGTCCTCTTCCCTCCCCAGGCCTGGCTCAGAGTGGGCATCAGTGTGGGGGGAGTGGGTCTTCCTGCCATGGTGGTGGTGGTCCTGGTTGTGTACAAACACCTGCTAACTCTGGAGGCAAGTAAGTGTGTTAGTCACTCAGTCGTGTCTGACTCTTTGTGATCCCGTAGACTGTAGCCCACCAGGCTCCTCTGTCCATGGGATTCTCCAGGCAGGAATACTGGAGAGGGTTGCCATTTCCTTCTCCAGGGGATCTTCCTGACCCAGGGATCGCACCCAGGCCTACTGCACTGCAGGCAGATTCTTTGTTATCTGAGCCACCAGGGAGGCGGTCTCTGGCAAAGCTGGCATCCCAGCAGAGCCTGGAGGCATCCTGGCCCCTCTGGGGGAAGCAATGCAGGGGGCCCTTTCCTGAGGGTTCTGGGGCTCACGGGATGGCAGGACTCTGAGATGGGCACATCAGGCATGGATCTTGCCTTTGAAAAGAGTTCTTCAAGGCCGGAGCACATGGGAGGCAGGAGAGGCACCCACATTGGTTCACTGAAGCATCAAAAACCCCACCACAGTCATTCTAACTGCAGCCGCAGTTCATCAAGCACTCAAGCTGGGCCAGGGGCTCTGCAGATCATTTTATAAATGGTGAAACCGAGGCCTGGGGGTGGTAAGTATCTTTCCCTGGGCCCCAAGGCTGCTGGAGCTGCGATGTGACTAGGATGTGACTAGGAGTCCATCTTGAGCTTGACTACAGGGCTCAACAATTGACCTTGAACCCTGGGAGGTGGGCAGGGCAGGTCTGGCACTCCCAGCTGTACAGAGAAGAAAAGAAAGGCAGGGAGAATTTGAGGGATATGTTTAGGAAACAAAAAAGTAAATTTTAATTTGGGGGGAAAACTATCAAGAAACCGTGGGTGGAAAAACATGCTTTCCTGCCACTGTCTTGAAGGTTGAGTGAGTAACATCTGCGGCTGTCAAAGTCAGGGCTGCTGGGAGATGGCATTTTTTAGGACGGTGTGGCAGGAATCGATCACTGAGTGTCCAGCCTTCTTTAGGAAGACCTCACAGCTTTGAAGCATGCCCCCCCAACCCCCCCGCCCGCCAGCTGCCACCTTTGCTTTGATTTTTGACCACACTCAGTCAGCTGAATTAAAGGGCTGACTTAGAGCATCACCCTTTAAAAGTCAGTAGCATGTACTTTTGCCATAGGACACTAAACGATGAACTCCCCAGGTTGGTAGGTTCCCAATATGCTACTGGAGATCAGTGGAGAAATAACTCCAGAAAGAATGAAGAGATGGAGCCAAAGCAGAAACAACACCCAGTTGTTGATGTGACTGGTGATGGAAGTAAAATCTGATGCTGTAAAGAGCAATATTGCATAGGAACCTGGAGTGTTAGGTTCATGAATCAAGGCAAGTTGGAAGTGGTCAAACAGGAGATGGCAAGAGTGAACATCGACATTTTAGGAATCAGTGAACTAAAATGGATTAGAATGGGTGAATTTAACTCAGATGACCATTATATCTACCACTGTGGGCAAGAATCCCTTAGAAGAAATGGAATAGCCACCATAATCAGTAAGAGTCCAAAATGCAGTACTTGGATGCAATCTTAAAAATGACAGAATGATATCTGTTCGTTTCCAAGGCAAACCATTCAATATCACAGTAATTCAATCCTATGCGCCAACCACTAATGCCAAAGAAGCTGAAGTTGAATGGTTCTTTGAAGACCAACAAGACCTTCTGGAATTAACACCCAAAAAAGATGTCCTTTTCATTATAGGGAACTGGAATGCAAAAGTAGGAAGTCAAGAAACACCTGGAGTAACAGGCAAACTTGGCCTTGGAGTACAGAATGAAGCAGGGCAAAGGCTAATAGAGTTTTGCCAATAGAACCCACTGGTCATAGCAAACACCCTCTTCCAACAACACAAGAGAAGACTCCACACATGGACATTACTAGATGATCAACACCAAAATCAGACTGATTATATTCTTTGCAGCCAAAGATGGAGAAGCTCTATAGAGTCAGCAAAAACAAGACTGGGAGCTGACTGTGGCTCAGATCATGAACTCCTTATTGCCAAATTCAGACTTAAATTGAAGAAAGTAGGGAAAACCACTAGACCATTCAGGTATGACCTAAATCAAATCCCTTA